TATGTTTCTTCCTACTTGGCTCAATAGGCACTTTAGTTTGGCTCATGGTAGGATCTCATGTTGGTCACAGTTTCGACTCAGGTCTGTTTGGGCATTCTTTTATTGTGAATTGGGTAGGGAAAAAAACCATATGCTTTAGAGCCAGATTTTTTCAGGATATGAATTTTGATAGTTACCTTTTTATAATGGAACTACGTAAGACAGGGTAGAAATTATTGAATTTAATCTGATTCTTCTTGGAATCCAGGTAGTTTTGTGGTGAGTCCTTGCTAGTTTGCTTGCCTCAGTTATTTCCCAAGTGAAAGCATGTCATTCCATTTCCACTCTCCTGTCACTGGTGTAGTTCTGTCCACCCTGGCTACTGCTGCCTGCTCCCTGAGCTCTGCTCTGTGCTGAGACCCTCCTGCCCACATCTTCGGGTCTCAGGAATCCTCCCTGCCCTGAGCAAGCCTGGAGCTCCTCACTGAGAGGATGCTCATTGTGCCTCCCTTCAGGCTCCATGCAGGTAATGCACGTTGCACCATGCCAAACAAGAGAAACAGTGCCCATCGCAGTCTTCAGTCTTTGGATTTTGTTTTTAAATAGAATTAGTTTATTAAGATAAAATAAATAATTGTAATATTAATAATAAAGTGAAACAAATACAACTTGATTTAATGGGAAGTGATTTGTATTCGTAGAATTACATGTTGATACATTTTTTTATTTCTGCAAAGCTTACAGAGGGACCATTTGAAGAGAGTACAAATAAAGACTATTATCAGTTAATCAAGGTAACATAATAATGCATTATACTCATTATTAGGATTATGACTAAGGATTACAACTAAGGAAAAATAATCTGAAATAAGGTGAGGTATGAATTTACAGTCAGGTAGAGTTTGTGAGTAGTTTTCCAAAACTACCAAGTTCAGTATTTGCCTTCCAGTAATACATATAAAATGCTAGGGGTTCTTAGAAAAGAAATACAGAACGAGTCATAATATCTTGTTATATGTGTCACAGTTTAAATCCGCATATTGAGTGCTGAGTGCAATTCCAATTACCTCATTGAAAAGCTAGGAGAAGGGTGATAGGAATGATGACTCTTTGTCTTAATTAAGAGCTCCCATTTTACAGATGACATTGCAGGCCTTGAAAAGGTCATTAAGAAATAGTAGTTTGTAACTTTTCTTTGCACAAAAATGGCAAATTCTAGAAGAAACAAAGTGTTCCTTGAGACGTCACATACTTCAATCGTGGAACCCATTGTAAGGAAGCTGATTTAACCATTTTCTTGTCTATGTTTCACTAGTCAGTAAAGTCTTCAGAGATCTGTCCTGAATCAGAGTTGTATCATTGTTTATGAGGTTGTATCATGATTAAATAAGCTTAAAGCATGTAATACATTTCTTCAAATGTCATATATTCTTTTCCATCTCATCTAATGACAAATACTTATTAATCATTATACAAAATATAAGAAACGTAACATGCTACTTATATTTATAGTATCATTGAAGAAGAGTGCTCTGAGTGTTGAATACTGTTCTGAAGCATAATGTAATGTTCAAAGTTTGTTTTCTTGCAGTGTGATTGACAGCCGTTTTGATGCTGACTTAAGTTGTGTATTAGTGTCAAGTAATTGTTTGGGGAATTACAGCTGTCTTTCATATTAGTTTTTCCTAGTTTAATGTTCAGAGCAAAGCGAACAGAAAACATAAGGCAGAATGCTCTCAGTGATAAATGTACTTTTAATGGCATGTGCGGGTTGTAAAATAATGTGTATGTAGCTACTTGCATTTTGAAATTAATGTACGTTCTTGGACTTGTCTATTAAGAAAGATGAGAGCATTGCAGACAACTCTACTGCTGTGTGGATGGGAAGTTCTCTACCCATTTTTTAGAATACTCAAGTGGATAAATATTCAAAATAACTATATAATTTTTAATCTGTTATCAAAAGTGGTTTCCTATTAGAAACATGAAAAAGGAATAGGAGGTATCAGAATAGAAAAAAATAAGTGCTAAGTATGCTCTATTTTTGAACATTTTCACTATAGTTGAGCTCTCTTACTCCTAATGGTTTTTGTTACTATTTATTTGTAAATTGAGATTTGTTTACAATTTGTTTATTTTGAAGATAGGACTGGAAAATTAACATGACCCATTAGTGTTAGGGTTAAAATACATTTTTCTTTCAACATGGAAGGTATTACGGTCTTAATGCTTCATAAGCTGTCCCTTGAAAAGGCAGAGTGGGGAACTCACATTTTGCATTCTGTGCAAATGAGTGCACTGTGATATTTAATTAAGTGTACATGTTGGGTCTGCAATGTTTGAAACCCATTCTTGATACACTGGGTATATTTTTATTTGAAGCTGTTTTAAGAAATGTATAATTTAATTAAAGCCAGTTATTGGAATTATTAAATGAGATAATTCCACGCCGAATTTTTAATTGCATTCTTGAGTTAATGCCTGCGTTACAGCCCCCCTTGGTATTTTGCAAAATATTTTTCATCAGGTTGGTAATGCAAAGATAATTAAGGCTTATCAGAGTACCTGTGTTAGTTAAATCTTATTTCTTCTGTTTGGGCTCATCCTATCTAGTAATTGTAGTTGTTTACCAATGAAGTATATGCCAAATGCATATATTTATTATAGTTTAATGGATGTGTTCTCTAGAATCACATAGAAGGCTGGCAGATTGAGGGGAAAGAAAAAAGAAACAAAATGAAAGGGAGCGAGGAAGAGCAGACTGCCTTGACCCTTCATATCTAGGCTGCTAAAGATGACATCTTTGTGTGGACTTCAGTTTGTGAAGAGAGATATAGATTAGGGGGTTTGAAAAGAGAACTAAAATGTGTTATCTTCTCACTCAAGGAGTATATTATTTATTATGAATCTATGTTTTGCTGACAGAGGCAGCTTCTTAAATGGGTTTTAGTTTGATCAAATATTGGTTTTACTGTTGATGTGTTAGAACTCTGTCCTGTGTCTTTTCCTTTTAAAATGTTACAAAAGTCAATCAAACGTGTTCTGTGTGATGCTGTTAGATATTTCTCACATTTTTTAAATGAACTGAATACTTTGAACGCTCTGTGCTGCAGTGAAGCATAAACAGCATGTCACTGTGTTCACTATCTATTTTTTCACTTATTTGAAAGACAGAATGTTACGACAATTTTTTGGTAAATTGAGTTTAATTTATACATTGATTTGTTTTTAGTTAAATGTGGGCATCTTTGTTATCTTCATCTTATACTTAAGCAGTATGTTCATCGACAACCACTTGCTAAAAAAAAGCCTATATTTATGCAGATACACTGCATGATCCGTTTTGGGTTCCTTCGTTAGTAACCTGATGTTCAAGAATGAATATTTAGAAATACCACGATCCTTCCAGAAATAAATGGGTTATGAAGGAAAGCATAATGAATCTGGAAGAGTTATCTTACAAATTCTCTCTCCATTGTTCTGTATTTGCAAAGCTGCTGCATTAGCAATACAGAAGCAAATAGGACAAACATAAGCATTGCAATAGTAATTTCCTTATCAGTGAAGCCCAAATTAAATAGTAGCATGTTAGGAAAGCATGATTAGGTCTGTTTTGCGCCACTATAAATACTTCTTCCCAGTGTGGTTTCATCTGCAGACTTACTGAGGTACAGATGCACTTTTCAGCTGAACCATTTCATCACATTTGGCCTTATATATTGTGGCTGGAAAGGTAAAGAATGTAATGCTTAGCCTCACGCCATGTCTTCTTCACTTACAAACCTGTTCAAGTCAGTCAGTATGAAGTTACAGGATATTCAACTTTTTATTACTTTGGAGATGGGTGAAATGTAAGAACTTCATCTGAAATCTACTGAGAGCAAAGGTGACTGATGGCTCCTCTCCCCACCTCTCCCCCCTCCTTTCCGAACAAGTTTTGATGTCCACTGCATTTCTCTGAAGATATGAATTCTTAGGAACCTGTGTGTAGTTCATAAGAGGAATATAATGTGACCAGTAATGTGGAATTTCTTTTTCAGGACAGTTTGTAATACAAGGCTGGCATTTGAAATACTGGCAATGTAAAAAATAATAATATAAACAGGGAGTTTTCTCTAAAGATCCATAGAACTGTTCAAAGCAGTTTGCAGTAAAAGGGCTGGAAGAAGTTCCCCACATATTTGAATAAATAGGCTGAATTATTCAGAAAACAAAAAGAAAGACCCTAGATATTAACAGAATACTTCTAGGAGATACAGCATAGCCTATATTTATCTCCAGAGAGCATTGAGTACATGTTTTTGTTCTCTTCCTGCTTGTACCTTTCAATTTCCCTACACGTTGAATTCTCCACATACTGAAATTTGTCTGCTTATACTGGCCCAGCATTTTTTATGTTTACAGCTGTAAAATGATAGTTAAGCTGGTGTAATCAAGTAAATGATTGTTTTCATGTATTTTGAAAAGAGGATGAAGGAGTCATTAATACTGCGAGTAGCTGATATTGTGTTGTTTAAATTGTAGCTGTTTAAAAATCAAGTAAATTATTTATCAGAAATCTTATTCATTTTCCCTTTCTAACTTACACAAACTCATTATGCATGCTGTTCATCAATACTTTTCCTCTTTAAGATGCTTATGTCCTCATCAGAAAGGAGTCTGAATTGTTTAAAGACTGCTTTTGATTATAAAAACACTTCTTGTAAATGATGTTGATTAATAAAACCATAAATTTTCAGAATATTTGACCAATATGGAAGACAAATGGGGAATTTTGAAATGCCTGGACAAAAGTAAGTGATAGGCAAGTCTGGTTTCACTTTTGCTGTTTATTATGTGAGACTCAGTTTAAGATTGATGAATATTCTACGTTGTCCTTAAAAATGTATCAAGTCCGTTTAACATCCATCTAATTGCATGGTAGGAAGGAAGTTCTTGAACATCTACATGATTATTTTCTCCTGTTTGCCTCCTGCAGTGAATAATCAATAGTGTGCTTGTTTTTGTTTTTTGTTTTCCAGATAACCTTTTTCATGCTGCTCTCTGCAGTGTGTGTAATGCTGAATTTAGCTGGTTCCATTCTTTCTTGTCAGAATGCTCAGCTAGTAAAGTCCCTGGAAGGATGTCAGTTGGTGAGTAATGAAAAACAAACTTGTTCTAAAAAGGACAATATATATTATTTTCCATTTGTTTGCATTTTGTACACACGTTGCTTTAATTTTCAAACAGTACGTGTTCTGTAGAGCTGCTGTTAGCCTTTACTATGTGACAGGTCACATTGAAAAAAATTTGAGAATTTAAGAGCTAGCATAGTTAGAATATTCTCCCACCTTAAAAGACTTGCTTCTGTTGTAGGCAGAATAAGTGAAATGCAGACCCCTTCAAACCAGTGCAGTGGTTGCCATTTAATGTTACAAGTATCACAGTTTCATCCAGCGTCTCCTTCTATAGCTAATATATTGCCTAGACATATTGATAGTGATGTTTTAGTATGTGTACATTTTTTTTATCTACGTGAAGTAGTAATTTTATAATTTCCAAAGCAAATGTATGTTAAATAAAATACAGAATAATAATTAAAAGTTGCCATAATAACATGTTTTGAATTGTTAAAAGGTGCAATATACCTAAACACAGTGTTTTTATCTCATGAGAAAACACACATGGCCTGCCTGAAATCTCTAATTTAAAGTAAATATCAAAATAATGATCATTTTTCCTACGAATTTGGAAGACAAATTACATTAGATTATAAGAATGATGAATGAGCTAGAGAATGTTTGTGGACACGCATCAGTGTTCTTTTTAATGTAATCTGACTGAAAACCAATCAAATTATCTAAACTACATGAGTATGCACAATATTGATTAAATATTAGGGTTATGCTTGTATTGGCCTTATCCTTTGGGCACACACCAAAATGTTGACTGGAATTATAAAGAGAAAAGTAATTTTCATCTCTAATGTTAGCAGGTGAGTCTACAAGATGCTTCTTTATCTCTTCTATTCAGGCATTGTTTTCTTCTTCTGTTTTTTGCCCAGTAAATCCCTTCAAGCATCTATTTGAACGCAAGTATATAATAAAACAAAATTAAAATAAGAAAATCTCAACAAATATTTTTGAAATAGACCTGAAAAACGCAGAATGGGAGAATGTTTGGGTGTAATTTGCCATTGGGTGTAACTTATTTAGTCAGCTTTTAAGCCTTTGTTCTGTGTTCCTATCACCCATGTGTTGTTTTCAAAGGAGTGTGCCTGCAACTCCATAAATGAGCTACACTTTCTACAGTGTATGTGATTTCCAGCTCTGGTTAGGGTTCAGGCTTTACAAAACCAAATGGATGGAGCCAGGTGTCTGAGTGTGTGGAAAACCAGCAGCAACCCAGAGACAGGCAGAGAGGATTTTCCCTATATATATATATACGTGTGTGTGTGTGTGTATTTATTTTATTTGGGGAACTTGATGGGAGTTCTTGTTTCTCATTGCTATGGGAATTTGGAATTGTGCTGCAGAGCTAGAATGGTCAACTCATGGTACCTGGAGGTGTTACAGGATGCGTACCGCTCTCTGGAATTGTATTTTTTGAAGCTAAGTAACATAGGTATCTTTTGTTGGGAGCTCTTTAAAGTGAGTCTTACTGTTTTCTTTTGACGTCTCCGCTTTGATACTAAGGCTGTTTTTAATTACTTTTAGGGAGTGCATTTGTACTACAACTTCCCATGAGGACATAATGAAATGGCTGTGTATTTGCGTAGAAGAATAAGCAGCTTCTCAACAGAACTGCATTTTAACCTGCAGAGTCAAACAATTTTGTTTATGGCAGTTCACTGTAAGGGGTATATTGAATTTGTTTCTGGACAGAATGTTTGATACGTGGCATTGGTGTTCTCATGGAATGCCATCTTGTCACATCTTACGTATGGGAATAGCAGCAAAATCCTAAGGAAAAGAACATAAATGTTGGAAAGTAGATGGAATTACTTATGTTTTTCTTGCTCAGTGGACTGTTCTTTGATTTGTTGACCAAAAAAAAAAGCTGCTCTTTTAATTTCTCTAGTAGAATTTCTCTACTCTTTAATATATGTGATTTCAGATTAGAAATGCTCTTAACTACTCAGTGTTTTTGACATTTAATGACTATAGTATTAACTAAAAAAATTGTGAGTGGATATTGTAAATAATGTAGTAGTGTCTTAAGGGGTCCATCCAAACCTTTGTATGGAATCAGCTGCTATACTGCTGAATGTACAAAAGTGATGACATATTCAGCCTTCTTTACTGCTTCTCTTTAAAAAAAGAGTTGGTTTGTCAATTCACAGACATATTTAAAGGAAAAAGTGTATAGTAGGGCAAACTGTTGAAAGCTTTTCAAAAATATGTGTTTGATATTGAAAAGGAATTTTGTTTCATTCTGATCTTAATGTTCTCTGAATATGCTATATATTCTAGAACATCCTGATGTTTTGCAAAAACTTTCATGTAAACAATTCTAACAATGTTTAAGATTTGAATTAAAGAGAGAGTTACAGAATCACAGATTTGCAGGAGTTGGAAGGAGACCTCAAGAGATCTGGAAGTAGGAAGTTATGGAACATAATTCAGAGTGTATCAAGAATCTTTCATAAATGTTGGATTATAACCAAGGAACTACTTCTGTTTTCAGCCTTTTCTTATGTGACACCAGTTCATTATGTGAGATAGAAGTAGACCTGGCATCGGTATTTTCTTTTTAGAAATATCAAGTGTGTCTCACCTTGAGTCAGTGACTATTTTTCCTTGAACAGTGTCACCATGGATCACAGGAATAATCATTCTAGTAGGTAGCTTTGTCTGAAGTTCAAAACTTCACACAAAGTTATAACTTTTGTGCAGCTGAAGAGTGTATTGATCTGCCTGGTGCTGATATAGCGTGTGTGCTGTAGCATTCTGACTGCTGTCTTTGATGTAACTCTAAATTGAAAGTTCAGGCTTTAAATTTCCTCTGTGCATTTATCTATCTAACAGTTTACACCATTTCTAACATTCCTACAGGAGTTCAAGAGCAAGACCTCCTCAATGGCATTTCACGTTGTATTTTCTGTTGACTGGAGAAGCTGAGGTTGTTTGATTATAAGCCATAGTTGGGTTTTACTTGGATCTTTTGCTTTTCAAATGGAGTATTAAAAGTTGACAAGTGTAAAATCTGAAAAAGACTCCAAAACTTTTAAAGCAGCTTCATGAACTGTATGCTAGTTAGAAATAAACAGCGCAACTTCTTGAAGGTGTGCAAACTATGAAAGAGGGTATCATCAGTCTGTGTGAGTTGGTATAGTGAAGTATTTCCAGTGCTGCCATGTAGCATGTGAGAAATGGCCTAATTCTAATGCTCAGATTAAAATAAATAAATAAATCTTTTTTAGCAATTACACAGACTAGAGAGCAATCTAGATTCTCAGGAAATGGAATCCACTGAGACAGATGTTATTCTTTGAGTACAACTTCATCACTGTGTATGGAAAGCATAAAAGTTATCTGCATCTCATCTGGAAAATTTTATAGATTTTTAATGAACTCTATTCTTTCAATTGCTGTTCTTGTTGCCAGCATGAAAACAGTACTAAATAACATGACAGGAATGATTATATATATATATATATATATATATAAAATATATACACACACATATATATATACACACACACACACACACACATTATCTTAATCATTAATCATATGGTCTTAATCATTACATACTTAAATATACTAACAATTTTAATATTCTTCAAGGTCTTATACAGTAAGGAAAACTTCTGTTGAGGTGATTCTACACATATGGCTGTATGAGGTACTTCTGCAAGGAAGGCTTATATCATTGCAATTTCTTTGTTCAGGAAATTGACAACACTGTAGAAAGTCATTTGAGTTAAAAATAGTAAATGCACATTTTCATTAGGGATTTTTTTTGCTGGATTAGTGTCTGGAAAATTTGAAATACATTTCCCTTGTAGAGGAATAAGTAACGTGGTAGTTTAGATTTCTTAGCAGCCAACTATTTTGCTTCCATCTTTACTTAGAGGGATACAGCAGTGATTCAAGATGACTGAATAGTACCTTGAATCTATTATTCTTTGCATGGAGAGCTGTGTAAATTTCCTGTGGGTGTCATTCTTAGTACTGATCATTGGACTATAGAAACCTGGGATCCGGCATCTTAAAACTTGTAGGTCAAGCAACTCCTGTGTGATATGAATTCTTTTTCTCAGTACGAACTATTCAGTCTTAACAATTCAGATGGAATTGTAACAAGTGACCTGGAGAGGTAGGAGGTATTTATCAGTCCTTTGAATAACCTGTAAAAATGGGAATGAGGAAATCATAGAAACATCAAATTGAGAAAATAAGTGCAATGGTAATTCATGGCAGCAGACTAGTTAAAAATCTTTCTGGAGTTAAATTTTGGCCTAAAATTTTTTTTGAAGGAGGAAGAAAGATGATGCAATCCTTTCTCCCTCTCAAATATGGAATCCAAAATCATTATAACAGTTTTCTTCATTGAGCAAGATTTATTTTATAATCACGCACAGGAATCCAATGAGAGTCTAATGCTTAATGAATATTTAATGTCTTCAAAACAAACCAAATTCAGTAAAACAGTGTACAAATATTTTCCAAAGTGAAAGTATGGAGTTATGTTAATTCTTATTTTCTCCGCATTTTCTTAATGCTTTGTTCTCTCTTCTGAAGTATGTCTTAGTTTGTATTGTAGTTGGTTTTGTACATATGTGTAAGTACACGTGACATTTGTGACCATGACTCTCTTCTTTTTTCTTAATCTTTCTCCATTGCATATGATTTCATGCATATTCATTTGAGCTGAACTGTGGTTTCATCTGCCTCTGCAAAGCAAACATTTTCAGCAGTTCACTGTTCTTTAGTATCGTCTACTTCTTGTGTGTTTCACCTGTTTTTATAGTTTTTGTTAGCTAATGATTGACATTCTGCTGTAGGAGAATTATGAACAATGAAATAAAGGTTTGCATTTTACGTTCATTGCTGTCACAATAAGTGTAAATAAAATTGTTGGAAAGTGTTCTTCTATTTACTGGCATTTTCTCTGACTTTTTTTTTTCCCTCCTCAGATTAAATTTGACAGTGATGGTGTCTGTGTTTGCTGTGAGATGCAGCATCAAACGTCAGGTTGCAGTAACCTTGGAGAAATGCTGAAACTGAACCCCCTGCAGGAATGTAATGTTGTGAGGTTGACCCTAAAGGTGCGTTATGAGAAGGGTTAGCAATTTTATTCAATTTTTTTCAATTTTAAGTAGTAAGTTTGTTGTGAGATAAAAGTGTGTGATGAAAGGAGAAGTAGCTGGTGGTATTATCAATGTTTGTATACTTACTCCTGAAAACAAGGAGAAAAAAAAAAAAAAGAACAAAATCCTTAATCCAGTGGAATTCAATACTTAATATTTTCTGTTTCAGGTCTCGTGTTATACATTCAGTATCTTTGATTTGCATATGTAACTGTTTTTGTAGATTTCACTAAACCAGAGGCCATGCTTGCTTATAGCTAATACTGGAAGAAACAAAGACAGACACTTTTCTGGTTGTTGCTCAAGCAAATTGGGATGGGAAGTACTGGTTGGTGTTGTTCAGTGATGTGATAGACTGCAAGGAAATACTAAGTATTAGTAAAATGTATTTCAAGTTATGTTACTTTGGCAGAGAATGGCAAGAGTTTTTGTGACTGTGCGTGCTTATAAACTACTGTCCAATGTTATTAGAAGCTTAAATCATATCGTGTTTTGTGTTGAAATGACCCAAGTAAAGAATGGAGAGCAAGTGATAGTAATATTGTATTCAATTTTATTCCAATGTAATTGCATACATTCATTGTCACCAAAGTAGCAAGAAGTGGTGCTGTATTGTTTTGGAAAATTGTAATCTATGAAAGAACTGATCAAGAGAAAAGAACTCTAGCCTAAATTACAGATGTTGATTTATTTTAAGTTTAGTTTAATGATTGACATAATTAAGTCTGCATCTGTGGCTCTCAATTTCTAAGCATAAATTTTAATAAAGTTAGAATAGCATGGAATGAAGTAGTGTAACTCAATGTAATAAGAAGTTTAGGAATTAGGCTGTAGATTGAGGCCTGGAAACTCAAAATTAAGTTTATATTTGAAGAAGTATTTTACTGTTAAAAACAGGTGTAAGTCTTGCAAAAGGAACTGTAATAAGCAGTTATTCTTCAGCTGTGTTAAGAAAGATAGACAAGAAAAAGGACTACTAAGTGGTAAGGATTAGATAGAAATTAAAAATCTGCTTTGCACCAAAGCTAAAAAATTGTACACCGTGTTTTAATGAGGATGATATGGGGAAAAAATGGGACCAAAAGCCTGTTGAGCAGCAGGAATCTTGTGACAAAGAAGCAAATACTTAACACTACATCTGACCAATAATGTTAACTGTGACTTGGAATGCTAAATTCAGGACTCTGTTCAGTGCTGTGGGGCTTTCTCTTTAATATGAAGGAAATGCAGTCTTCAGTGTTTAGTAGATGGAAAAAATATGAATCTGTACAGAAAAATCTTAGTAGTTATCTTATAAAAATGGAGAGAATATATGATTACTGTTGTATGTATGTCTGTAAAGTAAACTGCAACAATAGAAAGAAAATAACTGAATCTTAGAGGACATTGTCAGCATATGAAGTGCATGTGGCCTTCGTTTACTGGAAATCAGGACAAAGTTTCTAACAAATACAGCAATAAGAACAGCTGCACAAAACGTAATTTCTTGTTTAAAAAAAAAAAAACACCGAGAAATTGGTGACATTTCTGTTTGCATCAGCAGAGGACTGAATTAAAATCAGGAGTTCCTGTGAGTATAAACTGCATGCAGCGTTAATTATCAGATTTTTTCAGTTAAGAGAGGATGATAATAATGTTTCTTAAATCTTTCATTTTTAATTCTGCATTTGCTTGCTTTGAGAGTTCTGTATTCCTGACAAATTTGAGGACTAGGAGCCTAGTGTCAAGCAACAAAAGGAAAAAAAAAACGATTACAGCGTGTTCCTTAAACAGCTGACTGAGAAAAAGCTTACCTTTAATTTCAATTAACAAGTATGATGTGATTTTGGGAGAACACATTTTTTACTAGAAGATCATTTCTGCTCATTGTTTAGGGCATCAGGGGAGAGAAAATGTAGAATATCGAAGTTAAGGTTATAGATCTTTATGAATGATGTTACTCAAGTTCCACTCTCCGTTTCTTTATTCAGACTGGGGGGAAATCTCATCTTTCCACTGTGTAACCTGGGCTTTTTGATGGTGGTAACTGCAGGAGCTCCAGTGTAAACAGAACAATGGCACACGTATCAACTGTCTGATCTTGTTCCCAATGAGGCTTTCTTGACTGTCTCTCTGTCATCTGATCTGTCTGTGCAACCTGAGTTTTGTTCATGTAAAACCAGAAAAAATTGCAGGAGCTTAAATCTCCTGTAAACATACACGTGTGCAGACATAAACGAGCACACGTGGACATAACTGTAAATCTGGTGTCATCTCTGGGTTACACTGCTGATTGTACCTCAGGCATAGTCCTGAATCTATTTCAGGATGAGATAGATATGAATGAGATATGGTTGGTTGGTTGTTCTTTTTTTTTTTCCTGTTTTTTTTCTTACATGTTTGCATGTAAGAGCATAATGTTATGTGGCTTTTGTTTAGAATCTGTTTAGTGGGATTTTTAAATTACTTTAACAGCTTATGTAGTCCAGAATATTTGCAATGATGCATGCTAACTTATGAATATATAGAAATATTTGCTTCCTGTTTTACTTAAGTGCATTTGTAGAGTGGTTTTGTGACTATACAGGCGAAGTAAAGGCTATTTCCTTCTGTATTTTCAGCACAAATAATTGTTTCAGAGCTACTGAAATTAAAGTACAACATTAAATAATAGTGTTCTTCAGTTCTGGTTCTATTCAGTAGCATCCTTATTAGGGATTTCTGTAGCAGGTTTCTTACAATCTTCCATGCAGATCTTTCCTTTAGTGTCCTTTGGAGCAGAATTCATTTTGACTGTGTTTTCTGATGACCAAGTTTAACCATGTTTTTTGTTTTTTTTGTCTTTTTTTTTTTCCATTTAGAACAACATGGTTTCACTTTCGTAACAGAGGATGTCTCCTTAAATGTTTTTTAGTTAGGAGAGCAGACTTATCTTCTTTGATGCTCCTCTCATTCCCTCTACAACCAAATACAAAGTAAAATTACTTTTCTAAAAGACTTTATAATATTTGAATTTGAATTTGGATGAAGCTCAGTGGGAAAAAAATAACTTTTAAGATAAGATTTTAAAATGCTGGAATTATTTGAAGTTCTGTAACAGGAAACTGAAACATACTGGCCACCATCAAAAATAGAGCAGTTCAGGTGTGGGCTTTTGTACTCAATAGTTGAGCTAAAAGTATTCAGAAGTTCTGAAAAACAATTGTGTAACATACACAATCTGTTCATTCTTTTCTTTCTTGTTTATTTCTGTTCCTAGTGTATAAAAATGAGTGAATACTATCAAGAACTTCTCTCATAACTGAGACACTGCCTTTTTTCAATGACTGAAATCCATTTATTGTGTGCTTGTCTAGTTAATTTATGGAACTTCAATACTTTGAGACTATCTTAATAATATATCACTACTACTGCATTTAACATAGATACCTCAGTTGATGAAGGATTTCAAGCATGCATCCAAGCAGTGATGATCTTTTAGAGTTTACTTTTATTAAGTAATTGCACTGTTTCTTCGAAAATATAGTAAATATTTTAGGCTTATGTAAAATAGTACATTAAATTGTACCTTTATACCGTAATTCTATTTTATGAAGCCTGGGCCATTTCTCCACATACAATTTGATGTGCATATGAAACTTTTCTGAATTGTCTTCCTAGTCTTAGAGCTGCTATTTTTCCTGGTCTTTTTCAGACATAACCAGTTAGAACAACTGAAGTTATGATTTGATTTAAAGGGAATGTTTTCATCAAATTCACAACTAAGAGAGGCAGAGAGAGATTCGTTTAATGGGTGAAAAAGCTTTATTGCTCAGTATCTATTTTCAGGTTGACATTGTATCAAAAATGAAATACCAGAATTGAAATCAATCAAGGAGAAAAAAAATAATCTTCACAGAAAGTGAAGCTGGCTTTAGGCCTTGATCAGAGTTTAAATCCATGAGTTCAGGGCTACTGGTTACAGAGTGTCCTTTTTACACATCAGCAAGCTTGTTTTACTCCTGTTATTGGTTATTGACCAAACTCTCAAAAGTTCACAGAACTTAAGAGCCTACAGAAATACCAACCTATTTCCTCAGGAAAACAATCTTTTCAACCAGCAAAATGAGAGTGTTTTGTCAAGTTCAATGGAAACGTGCTACTTCAATAGTGTTGTACAGGTTAGAACTCTTAGGAAGTACTGTCTTTGTGTTATGTAACTTATTTTTTGGTTATATGTGAATAAGTAACTCAGTTTACAAAAAATAAAACTATCTTAAATCTTGTAAATAAACATGGAGAGAGAAAATAGGAGACAAAAAGCCTTGATCTATATTTTGGTACCTTCTACCGCAAAATAGTTTTGAATGCATGATCTCAATTCTTTGTAAGCAGCGCAGGTTGATAACTTTCCATAATAGTTGAGAAAAAACAAGTACTTAGTAATAATAGTGCTTCATCTGTGTGATATGTTAGCATTTTTTAATGTTAAATTCCCTGGTTTGGTAACAATGCATGTAATTGAAAGTACAATACATCACTATGATAAGAAGAGGCTAGGGAGTGATTGAATATTTAGCAAAGACTATATTTGAGTTGTTGTGAAGCCATCCAGAGGTTCTTGTTTCACGTATTTTCATTTGCCTGGTTTCTATTCTGTATTCTGTGTGGGTATGTAAAGAATTATGGAGCCCCTGCAACAGTTTTCTTAGAAGGAGACAGATTAAGTAAGGTGATAAGTTATTATTCTAAATAATTATTCTGAAGCATGTGATTTTATTGTGCTTACACTGAAGTCCGTTGGTGTGCTTGGCATAACTTCATGGCAAGTGTTTATGAAACAATGGTTTGTGCTGGGTAATTGGAATACCAAAGTTTCAGGGGAACATTCTCTTTTATTAACTGGTGTATAATGCATTTGTCGAATAAAGTGTATGTTGTTAAGGTGGAATGCTCCCATCCAAAAAGTTAACTCATTTTACTGCTTTTGAGTATTGAGT